GCTCATTCCTTAGGCTTCCGAGCCACAAACAAACTCGACCCCCGCAGACAACAGCATCCCGTAGCACATTGTCCCCTTGGGCAAACACATGCACAACCTAACCACCAAGTGGGGATGACCAACCCGCTCCCGGGGAGCTCCAGGCCTGCCTGTCATTGGCATGCAGATAACCCAGTGTCCTGTCGCACATTGTCCCCTTGGGAAAACACATGCACAACCTGCCCACCAGGTGGGAATGACACACACGCTCCCAGGGAGCTCCCGCTCTGCCTCCCATAGGCATGCAGATCACCAAGAATTCCATACCTTTGCTCCCAGGGAGCCTCACACACAAATGCATGCCCTCCATAGACTGTAGTGACAGCACTCCGCTAGCACTCATTTCCGCCTAGAATTAAGCCCAGCCCATATACATCTACACCACTACTTTCCAAAACAAGAAAAATCCAATAACTATGCATCCTCCAAGTCAAATGTGAACATAAAGCACTTGGACTGAAACAAGTGGGGAATGACACGAAGATCTTCAAAAGAGAAATGTATATCAGCTAGGAATTGATTAACATACAGCAGATATATTATTAGGCGCAGCTTCCCCTTTTTCTTTGGTACCTCACCCAAAGGACTAACCACAACTAAGCTGGCCAGTGGGGCTTCCTCAACGGCACCCGACAAAAATAAATCCCGTATATGAGAGGACACAAACTCAGCATGGGAGAAAACAGAAGAGAAATTACAGATGACCTTTGGAGGAGGAAGGGCAGTGAAACACCAAAAATAACCACACCCAATAATCTTCAATACGAGCTCTGGCGCACCAATACCACGCCAAAAACTAACACATGGCTTAAGCCGCCTGTGCACACTTATCCTGTTGTGGGTGCCGGGCTGGCATGAGGGCTGCTGCCGCTGGTGAAGCACTAAACATGCTGGGGCCGCCGAATTGCCCATTGGCTGCTCCACGAAATCACGGTTGGTGTTGCCGTAATCCAACCCTCCGGGCTGGGGCATACTCTGGCCATGTGATTCACTTGGCCACAGAACTCTGCCTCCGTCTCCGCATGCCCCAAAGCCAGTGTTTCCTCAGCCGAACTGTGCAGGCGGCCGCGACATATCCTGCTGTCTGGGGGTGCGAATTTTCCGCTGCTGATGCTCCCGCGTGCTATCAGGACGTGCTGCTATCCGCCGTGCTGTGGCAGCCGCCTCAGCAATCCTCTTGTCATCTACCATCCCGTCACCCAGCACACCGTTTTCATATACCTCGACTGTTTTCCAATCGTAAGCGTCCGCAATCCGGAGATGCTTCTGGCGGAGGGTCAGGGTCACCTTACTTTTTGCTAGGTATGCAGCTGCGTCATGACCTGATGGCAGTTGAGTGAGCGCTCCCTCCATGCCATCGAGCACAGTTTGGTTTACGTCGAATTGTTTTTGCAAGCCAGCTGGCTTCAACGTGACTTGGTTTGACATGGAGGCTGCCAGCTCAGCCAGCACAGCCCTCGTTTCTCTCTTGACGTCCTGGATCTCCTCTGACAGCTGTCCGAAGGCCTGCGCGAATGAAGCTGGCGGGGAGCCGGCAACCTCCGTGGAATCCACCATGACAGGATCCGGAGCAGGTACTTGCTCCTCGACGTTGCCAGCACGGATACGCTTTGGGGCCGTGCCCACAGATCCAGGTGAGGCGGATGTGGTCCGCTTTTTTCTGGGTGGAAATGGGATTTGAACCAGGGGTGCAAGCGAAACGCTTGCCAGCGAGTTTTTACTTCTCGTTTGTGGCATGGTCAAGCTCTTCCACGGACGAACAAAAATGCAAACTACGACGAAAAGAGAAAGACCAGGATGAAGAGAAAAGTTAGAGAACACTGACAAAAAACCAGCTGACGCAATCCTGGTGCCGTAACTATGGTGAAAATGCTGGCAACAAATACATTTTTCGTTTCATTCGCTACGCTCAGCCAACGAAAAATAACATAAACTAAGGAAACAACCAAAGAAACTGAAGTAAAGTACTGTAAATAGAAAGGTGTTAGAAATAACAACAAGATACAAGTGCAATAAAGTGCAAGGAAACGCAAAAAGGTAACAGGATTACGTAACCAAAGGCGAGAAGGCACTGAACGATGTGTCAACCTACGAATACAACTTCAGTGCAACAACGTGCTCCTTCTGCTTACACAACACAGGCTTATGAATACGTATACAAACTGCCTCAAGGACTTTCAACTGTTGGACATAACGCGCACGACACAGTACAGAAAAATGAGGGTCATCATACACACCAAGACAGTCAGGACGAGATAACACGTGTAGATACACAGCTGACTGCTTACGATCAACACATTCATCCGCCTCATCTCGCTCCTTCCCACCCGACTCCTCCTCGTCCATCTCATCGTCCTCTTCCTCGTTCCGCTCGTCGTATTCATAAGCCATTTTTGTGTAATCATAAGGAGCACGTTGTTGCTCTGAAGTTGTATTCGTAGGTTGACACTTCGTTCTGTGCCTTCTCGCCTTTGGTTACGTAATCCTGTTACCTTTTTGCGTTTCCTCTAGTGGTTTTATTGCAGTTGTATCTTGTTAGAAAGGTTTGCTCCCCACACCGGAGCTCGCGCTATTCCGCCGACTTTACTTGACACTTGACTGACTCACGACTGCCATCCAGAGCACACGAGAAGTCCATCGAACCTTCGACTCGGCAAACCTGCAAGAAAGCACCACTCCCTGCTCAATACACAGTGTTTCGGGGAATTCACCCCTCATCAGTTGAGCTTGAGTAGGCTGAGGAAGATTGTGCCTGAAGAGCACCAAAGCTCAACTGATGAAGGGTGAATTCCCCGAAACACTGTGTATTGAGCAGGGAGTGGTGCTTTCTTGCAGGTTTGCCGAGTCGAAGGTTCGATGGACTTCTCGTGTGCTCTGGATGGCAGTCGTGAGTCAGTCAAGTGTCAAGTAAAGTCGGCGGAATAGCGCGAGCTCTGGTGTGGGGAGCAAACCTTTCTTACAAATCATCGCCGAAGTCGCAACCACTACTTCGTATTGTATCTTGTTGTTATTTCTAACACCTTTCTATTTACAGTACTAAACTTCAGTTTCTTTGGTTGTATCCTTAGTTCCGTATTTTTTTTTCCACTGGTGATAGGAACAAGAAAATCGATTCTGGGTTTTCAATAATATTTTTGTTACAAAATACAAGGTAATACATGTCAAACAAGTAACGTAGTTGCGTGATCTCTGCGGCCTTCATCCTATTCATAGCTGTATCCCATTATTGCGGTTCTATAATTGGTTTGTGTTACATGTGTGTGTGTATGTGTGTGTGTGTGTGTGTGTGTGTGTGTGTGTGTGTATGTGTGCACGCATGTGTGTGTCGATGGTGTGCATTTTTTTGCTGGGTGAACACTCTGATCCCTAAACTGCGCCACCGGAGCTCCCAAGCTACAGCCTCACATTGGTTTATAGTTCATCGTTGGGAATGAGTTCGCTGCTCATTACGCGTTTGCTGATGTTGCGGCCCTAGAGAAATTGTCGAAGCTCGCCCTGATGCCAGTATCCTGAAGCACTCTGTCATTTTTACATCAGCATGTTCGGCGATCGAGTTCGCAGAGCATCAGCAAAAGCGGCTGACCACCCTTCAACCGTTGGTCCAAGCAACGTGCTTCTCTAAATCAATTGCAGTGCGGGCAGCTGCTAGTGGGTTAGAGATAAAGCACTTTGTCTTGTCCCACAAACGAAGTGGCGAGCCAGCCATTTCCAGACTGATGAAGGAGCAAGTCGGAGGTAAGAAGCGGGTGACAGCCTCGAGGAAGATTATATTAGCGGTGGCTGAACACCTAGCCAAGAACCAGCAGCAGCCCAACTGTAAGTAACGCCCTGTTGTACTGTGCTTCATTTGTTTTTGCTCACCATAAAATACCATCATTTTCGCCAGTGTTGGGACACGTTTTAGCTCGCATAGTTGAAGAACAATAGGACTCAATGTTGTGGGACTCAATGTTGTCTGATTCGTTCCAACATATCATCTTTCATTGAAGTTTGATATAGGGCGGTGCTAAGCGCTATCACAGCTACATGTACGTACATGTATCCAAACCAAGGACCAACAGGAGAGTAATCATGGAGAAAAGTACCTATCGATAATGCGTGCACCCAGGGTTTTCCGGCAAATTCATTAGTTCAGCTTTTCCATCCTTGTATTTTTCTGAACGCCGATTGCTCTAGCGAGTTAATGCAACACCTAACAGCCAAAAATCCAATACTAGTAAGTTATGACCAAAGCAGCAGCAGAGAAGTACAAGCAATATATTTTGATTGATTTTGATTTTGATTGATTTTTATTTCACGGATCCTCCAGAGGCAAATAGATGCCTATCGAAGGGAGTCTCCTAAGTAAGTATGGAAAATGAGAAAGTATGTTCGTAAGGGAGAAGAGATAGTATATAGATACGTGAATGTACCGATTTTAGGCTAATCTTGAGAATTTTTGGATTTTTCTCCAGAATATGCACGGCGACAACCATTTTCGCCGCGGTAAACCTGTTTCAGCCCACTTAAAGAACGTATTGTAAGTATCCACATATGGGGGAAGCTAAAAAATAAGCTGCAAAAAAATATTCAAAGTTTCATTTTTTGCGTCTTTTTGTTCTTCTCCAGGAAATGACGACCTGGATCCCATCGTCAACCAAAGTGTACATTTTTCGGTGTTCATATCATATTAGTAAATACCTCGAAAAGTCTGTATAAGTTTATGTGCTATTTTTTGTCCTATCTGGTATTACGGACGATTTCTCATCAATTTTCGGATTTTTGTGATATTTTGTGTTATCGAGGAAAATTGTGTTTTTGGCAAGACCTATTCAGGCAATTGAAAAACTGATGTTACTAAGCGAAAATATAAGGCTGTACCTATTCAAACCTGATGTCAGATTGGGCTGATGTTGAAATTAAATTTTTGGGCCTAACTCTCCCGAACCCCCTTAACAATAATTGATATACAAGCATCTTACAAGTATTCCAGAAGCGGCGCATTGTTGAAAAGTCCTGGAGGGATCGCAAGTCGGAAATTACTTTGGAATGAGCTAAAAGTCAACAGTTGATACAAAACATGAGATCACATTGAGTCAAAAAAAGAATGACGTACCCACTCTTATGTTAAAGTAAATATATGTTCATGATTGGCCATGCCGTCGACTGCGTCCGTTCTGTCATCTTTGCTGTTTTTAATTATGAAGTATTTCACTTTGTTTATCACAACATCAGAATGCTTTTGTTTGCTATCTTAATTCCACAATGTTTTATTGCTCGCCCTTGGTGTCCTTCAAGGGTGGTGGCGCTTCTACGGATGCAGAAAACTCGGCCTCTAAAGAGAAACCGAGTCTCACGCGAACCGTGAATTTTTTTGGTGTCGAATCGTCAAATTTCTACCATAACGTTACGCTTTCTGAAAGATGTATGTGGCACATGTCCTTTTTGCCTTATCTATGGCAAGGTGCGATGATCGCCTGGTGTGCTCCTGACGGATTTCGTAAATCATTCAAGTGTCAAGTTTGGCAGTAAGTGTGTCTTTAGGAGAAACCAACGTCTACTGGAGAATCAGTGAAGAGGGTAAAACAAACATGTTCTGCAGCCTAGCATAACGACTAATATGGTTTACTTCCTCCGAATACAAAAAATCAGGACTGTTTATCAACAATGTTTTTGAACACGAATCTGCTCAACGAAGCATGCCAAAGGCTGTCATCGATGATCAACATTCAGGTTGAGGTAAGTTTGGTCGATCCCGAACAGATTCTCCGCGCAAGACAAGCGTGTGAGGACATACGTCGTTGCTGACAGGAACTCACGAGTCAAATAAAGGAACTTACTTGCTCGCACGTCGGATGGCAAGTCCAATGTGGAGATAAGAAGACGCTTAGCACTAGGGAAGCAAAAGATCATTGAGCTTCAATTCATTTGGAAATCGCAATCACTTTCTTTGCCTACTCAATTTCTTTTTGTTAGGTGCTAGCGACTGTTTTATACGGATGCCAACCTTGGACATTATTATTATTATTATATATATTTGAGGATTTCCCAAAGACGTAGTCTAAATTGAAGGGAGTTCCATTATAATTATCTGTCTCATCAATGAGAAGAATTTCGTCCTTGGAGATGAAATGCTTCCGCCGACTCTTAGGAGTAACATACCACGACCGGCGTACCACCCAATCTATCATGGAAGAAATAAATGACATCATCGGAGCAAGGATGTGGCTAGCGAACGAAGTCAAGAAATTTAAGTTGATGTGGTTTGGCCATGTTACGAGACGTGACGTTTCCTCAAAGCCCTTCCTGCAGGGATCTACTCCTGGATCCCGACCGAGAGGAAGGCCCGCGACATCATGGATTTCTAACATTAAAAGTTGGACGGGTCTTCCCTTGCATGCTCTCTCTCACACGATAGAGTTAGATTCAGAGACATTATTCACAATTCTCTCGCTGATTAATGCCTCTACGATCACCTTGTGATTATGAGTTATACATACATGCATATATACATACATACATATATACATACTTACTTGCTCGTAACGGTCACAGTGACGCAGTGGTGTTCGCGGCTGGAATGTGGGTTACGAGTCAGGCGGCACTCGCTGCCCGGAACTACTTGGCCAGGCTCTGTAATACGGCATGACGGCGCGTGGCCTCATACGAGACTCACCGCCGAGATCCCCCAACGCGACAGGCTCGGTTGTCGCGTTGGGGGATTTCGGCGGTGAGTCTCGCCTCGCCTTCATACATGGACATTGCAACATTATGATAATAAACAACATACATGTACTTTCCATTGGCATCAGTATTCCGCGTAAGATTTTCGTCGCCTGTGTGGTGTGTTTCTCCACCAATGAGTGCGTACTATGATTATTTATCGCTGTTCTCACATTTTACCATTTTACCAGCCTGTATATGCCATTAATATATGTGGAAAGCGCGCACTTGCGCCATTTCTGGTGTATAAGAATGACCATTCCTCCATTATCATCATTATCATCCTCTACTGATGAGCTCCGACAGGGAGCGAAACAGCCGTCTAGAGGCGTGGAGCAATATTATCTCTCAACGGAAGTGTCCTTGCTGGTGTCTGTATGGTTTGGCTGAAGAGCGCGTGGTTGTGATGAGTTGGGAATGCAATGAATTGAAAATATGGCCGAAAGCTCTTTCTGGTGTATAAGAATGACCATTCCTCCATTATCATCATTATCATCCTCTACTGATGAGCTCCGACAGGGAGCGAAACAGCTGTCTAGAGGCGTGGAGCAATATTAGCTCTCAACGGAAGTGTCCTTGCTGGTGTCTGTATGGTTTGGCTGAAGAGCGCGTGGTTGTGATGAGTTGGGAATGCAATAAATTGAAAATATGGCCGAAAGCTCCGTCGCATAATTTTGTTCTGATATTACGGTAGGTTTACTAATTTTAGAAAAAAAGGAGAACGACAATTTGTTACGAGATATGAATAAATGTCCATCAACGTTTCCATATTATCATATAACGTGACAGTCGGCGAGCGCGACAAAATGGCACGAAACTGACAAGGAGTACTGAGACATTCAGCGTCGTGATACCCAAGTTGGGTGAAGTGTTGCTTTGCGTCGTCCAGTTGTAGTGAGACCGGTATGCCCAATAGTTTTACTAGTTTCATAATCATCCAGTAACTTTCGGGATTCTTTGTTGCCGTGGGCCTTAGCTCGTTCTCTTCTTCGTTGCGCTTTCCTTTCCCTCTTGGACATTTCCTAACCTGATCAGCCTTCCGAGCTGGAAGGTTGTTGGTTTGCGCCTCGGAGAAGTGGTGGAGCTAGGTGTCAGGTCGTTGGATGTCTCAGTACTCCTTGTCAGTTTTGTGCTATTGTGCCGCACTCCTTGTCTGTATATCATCTGGCTCCATTTGTGGACAGTCGATCATAGCTCGTAACATGTTTGTCATTATCCTTGTCGTCTATATTAAATAGTTAATAAATCGAACTGAAGATGAATATGATGCAAATGGCGATGACAAATGATGGGTGGAGAGAGTGACAATGGCGGACATGATGGTGGCAGTGCCGAGGATCGTGATGATGAAGATAACGACTGGTGGAAGAAGAGGTCGGTCGTGTGAAGGCATTTGTTGTCAAGTCAGCACTGTCGTAGGTTGAATGATTCCTTGTTTATAATTACATGTCTTGCTCATAACGCTCCTCAATTGAAAGTGTTGGATGCTGTTTACATACATGAGCGCCCACCTGACCGAAATTGTGGGCATATAATTCAAAATTTCCGGCAAGTAACATTTCGTTACTACTAGAGCGAAGACTCAATCAATTGCTTAAAAGTTTATCCCAACGCATTTGTCCAGTATTGTTGATTGTACATACCAGACATTCACAACAGAATACACATGCTCCGCCAATTCTCACACGATCAGTTATTTGGACCCGTCCACATCGTGCTCCAGTGGTAAGCTGGATTAGGAGCTGTTTGTGAAGCGGGTTCACAGTGGTGTGCACGTGTAGTACCTGTCGTCCTTGACATTGGACACCAGGATCGCTGTAGCGAGCAACCAGTTCAGCAGAGCAATCACCAACTGAACAACATAACATGGACGCGTCAACGAAGCTTCACCCAGATAACAACGTCACTCAAGAACAACCACTATCCCGCTGCGATCATCCAATCAGCCATACAATACGCCATACAAGGACACCAAGGCACCACATCACAGCGGAGTAGTCATCATCTTAGCATTTTACCCCAGTGATCTTTGCCATTCTCCCAAGCCTCGACTGTCGCCAAGAGGCAGAGATCCTACGTAGACCGCCGAATCATGGAGGCTCTCTTCATGCGAAAGAGGAAAGTGGCGGTGAATATGGACAAGGGTTGGCTTTGGTTGGGCGATGTTTAGGTGCTTAGGCGGTACTTGTCACTGACATGTTTAGTTTGTGCTTATATTATTGTACATACATGCCTTCTTTTTCTGGGAATGGTGTGATGCTACTTGGTTTGGGGGATTGTGATGTTCTAGCCTGCCCTGTGTTTTTTACTGCTTCTGCTGCTGTTGTTGCTGTTGTTTTCGTTCTAGCCTTGCTTCCTGTTGGTTATACCTGTCTCATCGTGTTTGTCAGATAAAATAACCATAGTTTGTTCAGGACTATTATACCTGAAAATGGGCCTGGACCAAAGATTTGTATTTGTATTTGTATTTGTATTATATATTTTACTGTAATCCTAATTGTATAAACCACTACCCAAAAATGGTCTCTCGGCTAAACATTTTTAGCCGAGAGACCGTTTTTGGGTAGTGGTTTATAACTGTGAGAAAAATGATCTAAGGCTGTCATCACACCATGGTACATAGCTCTGCGGCTACATCCACGTTAGGAGTTTTTGGTCGGCTGTCATGATGATTCGTATACGGGGTGAAAACGGGTGACGTAGACGTGGTATGGAGAGAGGGGGGGGGGGGTATACCACTTTTGTGTGAACGTGCGTATCTCCCCCAACCTTTTTCCGAGCGACCCTGTACTTCGATGTACGTGCTTTTAAATTTCTCCAAAAACCTGACTGCGTGTACGCGTCAAGAACTGTGCCTGTCTGATGACATGAGTATCCGCTTAGGGTTTTCCACTATAGACGCAGACCTAAACGGGAGTCGGAGAACATAGTGTGATGACGGCCTTAGGCTGCATTCACAGTACTTGAAAAAGTGCGGTATAGACCATTTTTAAGGCAATACTCCTTGGCAATCTGGGTAATTCGGCGCGAAAGTATAAAAGTAACCTGAAAGGTTTGCGCAACTCCGCAACTCCGGTAACCCAGACGTCGACAGCAGGAACTGTATTTTTCGTCCACTGATTTCTGATTACTTGAATTTTTCAATATGCCGAAGGTTCTGTTCACCGACGATCTGGAGTGTCGGCTCATTGAACTCTGGGGCGGAATACCAGGGAACATAAAGTGGCCCTATGAGGAAGCGATCTGTCACACAGCGTCAGATCGCATCTAAACTCAATGATTACGTTCAGCACCTGCCAGACGTCGTCTTCATAATATTATAATA